AAATATTATTGCTCCTTATAATTATTTTCATTGTATGTACCTGTGTTGTGATAATTTATTGTTAATAAAGTTAAGAGATTTTATTGGATAGTAAACAGTACAGCCATAATTTGTTAAAAGGTGCCACTCCAAATTATTTTGTCTAAATGCATTAAAGTAGATTTTCCAAATTGGTCTAAAAGATGCACCTTTTAGTCTAATAACATCTGAAGCAACTGGGTCCAATCATTGGATGGATGGCATTCTGAGATTTTAAAAAAGTTTATTTTTTAGATCGATTCGCGCGAAATCCAAAAAAATATATTTAGAAAAATAATTTGAAGTTGAATACCATTTATTTGATGATAGAAAAATAGTGACCTGCCTTTATTTGCAGTTTTTTTTTATAAAAAAAAAAAATTAGATTCTAAGATTCTGTGAAAAATATGCTTCAACTAACTAGACCTGCTTACTGATTATTTATTGCTTAACTTTAGCGAACAGACCAACATTGTGGACCATACATCACCAAATTCCTATTTATTGAACAGAACTGCGTTCCCTGTAAAAAAAAAAAACTTGGCCACACTGTTCCAAACATGGCAGACAAATAAATTTGACTTGAGTTAGTTTTTTGTTCACTGATTTTCAACACTTCCCTTAGTATCACCATAATTGGTTTTTTTATTAAAGCTGGTTAATTAGAGAATCAGAAATTAAGAAAAATAATTGGCTTAGAATATTCAGTAAAGTCATTTATTTCAAGTTGTTCACGCATAAGTTGAAAATCGAGTGTCTTATATAATTAAACGGTTAACTATTAAGTCTTTTTTTAAAATACCTGGAAAATCGTTTCTCTTATAAACCACTTACTACTTTTTAAAATGTTTGAAGTGGTTCCTTAGAAAATTAATTTATCGGCGGAAACGCGCCTCCAGTCTTCTTCTCTCACTGATATTATTATAGTCCGTGGTAAAGACCCCTTAACATCTCATATTATATTTTATTTTCGAAAATGTTCGAGATTGGGGCGTTTTCAACCTGAAGATCGGCAAACTTTATCTATTTAATTAGGTACTAAAAACTCGTAAATACTCTTTTGCTTTTCTCTTGAATCGTCAGATAATTTGATCACAAAATCGATAAAATAAGGTGGCATACAAAAATATTGGGCCTTTTTTGACCGTGACCTATTCCCCCAACATTTCAAAATAATGAGGTCATATAGGCCAAATGGCCCAATATTTTTATATGCCACCTTTTTTCCCGATTTTGTGATCAAATTATCTCACAATCCAAGTTGAAAGCAAACGAGTTTTTACTACCTAATTGAATAGACAAAGCTTGCCGATCTCCAGATTGAAAACCCAACAATCTCGAACATTTTCGTAAAAAAATAGTTGTAGGTTACGATACTAACGGATCCAGAATTTAATTTTGGGGGGCTTCAGCGCGAATGTTGTTTTTATTTTTATATATATAACGATAATTAATTTGAAAAAAAAAAAGAAACTACCTACCTCAAGAAACATATATGAGATGTTGTTAAGTGATTCTTTAAGTCCTATTAAATGTAATTACACCAACAATAATACTTTAAGAGATAGTTTTTTTCTTCAAAACATGGTTATTTTTTACTATTTTGTGGGAGGAGGGGATCCCATAGATCCGCCTGTGGGTTACAATTAGATGAAGCTATTTCCGAAGTTTCAGACGGATAAATGCAATACTTTAAGAGATAATTTTTTAATATTTTTTTTCCATAAAACATGGTTATGTTTTTTCATTTTTGGGGAGGGGGAGCTTCAGCCCCAAAGCCCCTCCTCCCCCCGTAGATCTGACTGTGCTCCGCTCAATTAAGAAAAGAGGAAAAGCAAATGAAAATTTTCATACTCGTCTTTCTTTTAATGTACTTCTAAACAGTCGGAAAATTGATTGAACGAACAAATATCTCCCATTCTCAACACATTAGAGGAAAAGCAAATGAAAATTCATCAAGTTTTTTTTTAACTCACTATTCTTTTAAGTAACAAAATATTAATTGTTAATCGTTCTTCGGAAACTATAGATAAAACAGATTAGTTTTTAATTGCCAGCGAAAATTTATTTGTGGAGGAATTAATTCCATTTTATAGTTAAAAATTTATCTGCTGACTAATGCACAACTCTGATCCTCATCCTTTAACGCTCTCCTCCCAATAGTAAAAGAGATATAATTGTAGGAATAAAAATATAATTTATTTTCGTTCCCCCAATAATTCGAATTAGAAAAATAAATTAATAACATACATTCTTCATAAATAAATAAAATATATTAACTAAAATCAATTAAGAAAATCGACTAAATGGCTTGGCCAGGGTCATTCTCAACGAAAACTAAAATGCAGTGGCCCAGTGATCTGCTCACAATATAAACCTAGAACAACAGAGACAAAATAAATATCCAAACATCTGTAAAAAAAAAAAAAGAAAGAAAGAAACTATTTCAAGATATTTTTGTGATATATCTAATACAATTTAGATAAGAGCACGGGCGGATCTACGGGGGGGGGGGGGCTTTCGGGCTGAAGCCCCCCCCAAAATGGTAAAATGTAACCATATTTTACAGAAAAAAATACTTTATACTATCTCTTAAAGTATTCTTGTTGGTGTAATTACGTTTAATAGGACTTCAAGAACAACTTAAACACCATTTCATGTAGATAATTAATTAATTTCTTTTTTTTTCAAATTAATTATCGTTATATATATATATATGAAAAAAAAAAAACTGTCGGGCTGAAGCCCCCCCCCAAAACTAAATCCTGGATCCGCTAGTGGATAAGAGGAAAATAATATAGAACAGACGATTCGGCTTATTATTATGATTTTATGAGTAGAGCTAGGCGAAAATCATTCATAATAAAATAAAAGGAAGGAAATCGGCGTTATGTACAATCGATTTTATTCTACCAGTTCAATCTCAAAAGGAAAATACACAGTCACTCTGTGGAATAAATGAAATTGCTTTAGCTTGGATACAGATTTTTTTAGACATAAAATTTCAAAATAAAGCTGCAAACGGTATTTTACAAATTTTGTACATTCTTGAACCTCATTACATCAATGTAACGACCTCATCACAAAGATAGTCAGCGGTACTTAACACAACCTATCATTTAGGTAGCTGCATGGGAAAACAAGAATTATATCTTTCTCGTCTCACGGGATTGATTTCTACATTAACAATTCCTACAGTATAGTAATTGTGTGAACATAAAAAATTTCTGCTAAAGATGGTTAATACTGAATTCCGCTGTGGATATTACATAAGTATCACTAGCGGATCCAGGATTTAATTTTGGGGGAAGCTTCAGCCCGAAAGCTTTTTTTTCATACAAGTAACGATAATTACTTTGAAAAAAAATGAAAGAAACTAACTACCTATATGAAACGGTGTTTAAGTGATCCCCAAAGTCCTTTTAAATGTAATTACACGGACAATAATACTTTAAGAGATTATTTTTTAATATTTTTTTTCATAAAACATGGGTATATTTTACCATTTTAGAGGGAAGGGGACTTCAGCCCCAAAGCTCACTCCCCCCGTAGATCCGCCAGTGAATGAATAAGTATTCATTCAAAAGTTTTCAGTAAATACTTGTTTTAATATTTTTTACCGAAACTTTTTATGGTTTTCATCGAGTTCAGTTAAATAGTGTCTTGGATCAGGGAGAAAGTATATTTCTGTGATTTTCATATTTCTCATTGATTCAAACAGATTTCACGTTGAAGCTAGGCCCTGAGAAATGAATTTCGCTGAGAGTTCAAGGAGAAAACTAATGACCCGACTAAGGAAGAAAATAAATAAATAAAATGCGGTCTTCGTAGTACTCTTTAAAAAATTACACTGTTGATCCACTTGTCAATACAAATAATATAAATATAGTTTGAAATCGTTTATATTATCCAGGTATCATCACAGGCGGATCTACGGGAGGGGGGGGGGTGGCTTTCGGGCTGAAGCCCCCCCAAAATGGTAAGATATAACCATGTTTTACAGAAAAAAATATTAAAAACTATCTCTTAAAGTATTCTTGTTCATATAATTACATTTAATAGCATTTCAAGAACCACTTAAACACCATTTTATATAAGTAGTTAATTTCTTTTTTTTTCTAATTAATTATCGTTATATGTATATGAAAAAATAATCTTTCGGGCTGAAGCCTCCTCCCCCCCAAAATTAAATCCTGGATCCTCTAGTGAGTATCATACAGTGGATTGGTTTTCGGAAAATTTTAACCAAAAAAACTATCGTTTCTCACGAACTAGATAAACAAATCCTACATAAACTTGCTCCTTAAATATGTAATATACATTAGAATAATATACCTATTGGACGTAAATTTTCGAAAAATTACCAGGCTAGATATTATTTACGAGTATTTAAGAGAATAGACTTGAGTTAAAAAGTTTTTTCTCACATTTATATCTTACTGATTTTTTTTCAGAAACTACTTTTTTTATGTTGAAATACATTTTTTTTAATATATAAATAGGTAAAATGATCAATATAACAGCACTCACGTAACAGGAGCAATACTTTATTTTCTCAATCTATATATTGCATTTAGTAAGTATGCCATTGAAATTTACGACTTAAATTTTACGTATTATTTTTTCTCATTATTTATGAATATTATTTTATTTACATGTATTCAACCAGGCAGTGCTGAATATTAAAAGTTTTATCATTTATATCGACACAATGAGCAAGGTATATTTTAGTGAGCAGATATTTTCTGAAATGTAGCGGATTCTTCACCAAAGTTTTGGCATTTCCGACAGTACTCAAAATTGATAGATTTTCTCACGACAAAGTTTAACCACCATCAATATTCCATTGAAAATCTATAAGCGGGAACCACCGTAGCGGTTTCCTACTCCACAGCAGTGTATTTAAACTTCTATTTCTGGATCTGTGATTCGCTCCTGTGATGTAACTACCAATCCCATATCCACCAGTAGCGATAAAGAAAGTAAGAGTAGCTAACACAAAGGAAGTGTATCAAAAGGGAGGGGGCACCAACCAGCGGACCAGTCTGGTATGCGAAGGTTTCACTGCCACAATGCACGTCTAGTCTTAGCCACATAGTGATATTTTATTGTACATATACTAAATATGATAGATATACTTTGATGATGATACTCATCTTTATCTCCCTCTTCGGTGAGTTCAGAAGTTATTTCATTAATACAATTTTAAGAAGTGAAGTGAATGCACAATCGACTTTCCGCTTTCCATATGTACTGTCCTTTCTCTTTTCTCTTTGGACATTTATTCGACCGAAGTAAAACTGTGTTTATGTTTATATCAGTTTTCAACTCTTTTTAAATTGGTTGCTTTTAATATTATATGCGTTTTTTGAACAACAAATATCGAATTATACCCGTTAAATAAAACATTCCTACCTGACTGCTCATTAAAGTCTCCTGCCAAACTCTGATTATCACCTATCTTATCAGACCTTTGTAAAGTTTGTTGATCACATAAACTTTTAAAAGCTATTCGTTTATTTAAAATCTGGAGCTTATTAGTAATGAACATTATATGGATTATGGAGCTTAATAAAGAATGGAGTAAAATATACATTTCAAGGATTGTGTATTTTTTTTAAAATATATCATAGAATAAATTGATTTTGGAAAGAAACTAAGACATAAATAGTATCATGTTGGTGTTCTTTTCTGAATTTTAAAATTACTTAAACTTAATATGATATTAATAGATTTTTTAAGGAAAAAGTTATTAAAACAATTATAAATTAAATATTTATACCTATAAGAAGCAAGGGACCCATCCACCTTGGCATTTCTTTCCAAGGTTAATTTAAGTAACTAGTTGACAAAATGTAACATTGAAAAAAAAAAACTGCAGGCCTTTCACTCCCACCAGGCATTATTTTCTATTAAGATCAGGCTTTGTACATACAACTTGGTCACAGTATACCTTGAATAGGAGCAGATACAATTCTTTTTCTATGCCTGACATTTTATTATAATTTCTCAAAATAATTCTATATATATATATATATACATATATATATATATATATATATATATATATATATATATATATATATATATATATATATATATATATATATATATATATATATTACTATTTGTTAAACAAATATATATATATTGCATAAATTCAGTCATGAAGAAATTTAATATTTTACAATTATCGGTTTTGTTTTAAAATATAATTTTAGAGCCTAATGCTGACACGATTGTCAAAAGTTCTGAACTTTATTTCTCAACTCAGCAAACATATATTTATGAAACCATTTAAATCTCATAAGTCATTAAAAATAGTTTTAAGGGGAGCTGTTTCTTATAAATTTAAGTGTGTTGGCTCCCTTCAAAAAACTAAATCACTTGAAGATACCCTGATAGCTGAAACATAATAAAAAAAAAGTTCTTTTAAATGCTGAGATGTTATTTAGTTTTAAATTTTTTTAATAAATTAATGTTCCTTCACCTTACACATAAATATACTACTAAATCTGATGTGTATTACAAGCTTTTTAATAATTTGTAAAGCGTTATATATTTATCTTTTCAAAATAGGTTTATTTTAAAGTTGTTTAAAAAATAGCCAAAAAGCTTCACTGTTTCTTATGTTATTTTTAATAATGTTAAAGAAAAAAATAGCTTAAAAACTTATTTGCAATAAATTCTTAATTAATATAAACAGTTTTTACAAATAAAATATTACCAATACTACTTCATATTTTTTTACTTAGAACTGACACCCTGTTGAATAATTTTTTTTTAATAATACGCAGTTTTATTAAGCACTTTTTTCAATTAACTAGAAAACATTTTTATTTTACACAATTTGTCGATAAATGTTTAAATTTAAATATTTTGATTAAAAAATTGATATAATTTTAATATTTCATAATTCCAAGAACTTATTTTGACTGAAATTAAAGTAATTAACGGCAGGTTGGTCAATTAAATTATTTAATTACTAATTAAAAATAATATTTTTAAAACAAAACTACAGAAAAAATCCTAAATTAATTAATCTTTCTTTTAGCTTTCGAAAATGTAGAACTGATTGAGAAAATTTTAAAAAGAAGCTGATAATAAGTTTACATCAACTAACAATTATACTTTCATTTTTTCAAATCTTGTTTTTCCTTTTTTACTTATGTAATTTAATGATTTCAGAGAAGTATTATTTTAGTAATTTTTCTGTTAGGGCTTTTTAATAGTAAAATTTGCAAAAAAAAAAAAAATTAAATTAAATCTTTGCCATATTTCAATGTACATTGAAACTATTTTTGCTGAAAAAGTATCTGTTTTCCGTTTATTCAGTAGGCAACAAAGTATATTTTAGTCTGTCATACTAAAAAGATGTTTATTTAAAAATTATTATAGTTCTGTGTAGCAAGTTTTGTTTAAAACTTTATTTTATTATTTAAACTTTATTGAGTATTAACTATACTAAATGAAAGAATGATTACAAATTTGATGAGAAAACTATTGTATCTTTAATAAAAAAATACAAAAAAGATAATTTTTATTCTTGATTACAATAGCTTATAAAAACAAAAAGACGTAAACAAAGCATTGAACTGGTGAAGCAATGCCATTGAGAATAAGGCATGGCTTTGTTCTGAGGCCAATGACTTATTCAAGACGTTCATTTTTCCTTATTGGTTGTCCATTCAATTTAATTTCGAGACAGTTTATTTAGTCTCAGATATCAGATTTGTGCTCTGTAGTTGCCAAGAATGTGAGTGAAATAATGAATGAGGTCTTAATGAGCACTTTCTTATCCTGTTGCCCTAATTCAAAGAAGAAGAATTGTAATTTTAATCCTACTTTCTAGTTGCTGTAAGCAGTTATAAATAATTCATAAAAATTGTTTTAAACTTATTGTGAAGATTGTGAACCTTTTGCCTTTATGTAATCACTATTGTTTTTAATTGTTGCATCATAATATTATTATAATTATAAATATATGTTCACATCCCATATGAATTAATTTATTTCTTAAATAAAATTATACTGTTATACTTCCTTTTTTTTAAATTTTATTTACAATTTGTTCATCAAATAAGTGCATTAAATTTATATAAATTTTTTTTTTTTTTTTACAAATTTGAATATTTCTTTGAAGAATACGGCGCATAATTCCAAAATATTATATGATTTCAACTATATATATAATTTATAGTTTACTATTACCAATAATACCATGAAAAAAGTTTCAGTAGTTTAGTGATCAAAATCAATTCACCGAGACTACTGATACTGCTAATGTTTTTGGTGGTGTGAAATTATTTGTCAAATGGGCCTATTGGTCTTTTTTGATCACGCCTGGCAACTTCCCAGAGATTGCTGCCTAGTTCTTCAAGAGTGGGAGTATATAGGATTTATTCAATTGTCACCACCAACAAATATTAATTAAAAAAACTTCTTCTTCGATAGCTCTAAAGTCCAGGGTGGGCCTTGGCTTTCTGAAAAAGAGCTCTCCAGATGTCTCTGCCCTTAGCCTTTTCTCTCCAGTTTGTAACTTTTAACCGCCTTGAGGTCATCCTCCACATACTCCAACCTCTCCTTCTTGGCCTTCCCCTTCCTCTGACACCATAAATTCTTCTTTGGGACATCTTTTTTGGGACTCTCTCATCTGGCATTCTAAGAACGTGCCCCAGCCATTTGATCCGCCATGATTTTATAAACCTCATAATTTCGCTATGATTGAATAAATCATATAGCTCTTTATTGGCCCTAATCCTCCATACTTGAGTTGTTCCATAGTACGAGGGACCAAATATTTTTCTCAGGATTTTCTTCTCGAATATCCTTAACGAATTTGCCATGTTGGCAGTAATCGTCAATGTTTCAGCCGCGTAAGTAAGTATGGATCTAATTAAGGTAGTGTATAGCCTTATTTTCGTTTTACTTGCTTAAGGATGATATAAAATGCTTTAAATTTGCGAAATACGCATGGTTAGCAGCCATTATCCTTCTGTGCACCTCAGTCATAATTCTGTTTTCATTATTTATTTCTGCCCCTAGATAGGTAAAGGTATTGCCATTTTCAAAAATGTGTCTTTCCACCACAAGGTTATGGGAATTTTTTGAATTTTCTTAAGCAATGGACATATACTTCGTTTTTAAATCATAAATCAATTAAAATCATTTCAAGACACATAATTTTACTTTCAGCATAGATAATATTTAAAATTTCAGTAAGGATTTAAACACTTCTGGCCACAAGAGCTATGCCATCTGCATATGCACAGATTTGAATGCTTGAATGAAATATATTTCCTTGTGTATTTATGCTATTAACGACCTTATGTAATGCTAGATTGAAGAGAGTGGCAGACAGAGCATCTCCTTTCTTTACACCGGTTGATATTGTAAATGTACTACTTACACTATCATTGGCAATAACTTTGGTATTGCTATTGCTTAGAGTCATCTGGATCAATCTTATCATCTTTTTTGGAATGTTTTATACTATTAGTGTTTTAATGAAGTTGGTCCTATTAATGCTGTCAAAGGCTTGACGGTAATCAATGAAAAGAACATGAATTGTAGTTTTGTGCTCAAAACTTTTCTAATATTTGTCTCATCACAAAAATTTTGTCGACTGTTCCTTTTCCTTTACGGAACCCACACTAATATTCCCCTAGACTGCGTTCAGCGTAGACATTTAGTTTCTTCAGGATAATATTCGAGAATATTTTTTTGTATGCTACCTCAAAGAGGGATGTAATTTCTGCATTGCAGTTTATCTCTTCTTTTAAATATGGGACAAATTAAATAAGTTCCCTACTGTTGAGGCATACTTTCATTCATTCATATGTCCAAGACCAAATTATATAGAGGTGTGAGCATATTCTGGCTACTATTTTTAAAGAATTCGGCCATTAGTAAATCTTTACTAGACGCTTTATTATTTTTTAGCTTTTGTATCGCTTCGGTTACGTCTTCTATATCAGGTGGCTCAATGTTAGTATCCTTCGGAAACATTACTTCAGCATTGCTTACTTCATTTTCATTCTTAACATTAAAAACACTAACAAATATTATTTGACTTAGGTGAGAATCAAATCCATACTACTCTCAGCCTGGTGTTCTAGTTCTCTCACATTAATGTGCTTGGTCATCACGGCCTAAATATAAGAAATTCGTGGAACATTATTTAACTTAATAATATAGAAGCAATGAATTATTTACATTTAGACTTAAAAAAATATGGTAACGCTTATAACCAGGTAAAATTGTAACTTTTTCCAATAAGTATATTTTTGTGACTAACATTATTCATTTATGCACCATGAATAAATAGTTTCATAATTTTACTTAATGCAAACTTTAAATTACTTTGATGTTTTTCGTTATTTTTCTAGTACTGCAGGGGAATAGTGAGGAATATAAAGGAAAGCATATTGGAAAGTTGAATTCATACCATCATCAAGTATCGGGGGATGTTTATGCTGTCGACAAATACACAATACTTATAACCGGTTTCAACTATGATGGAAATGGTGCAGATACATTTTTTTGGGCTGGGGCTTCTAATAGGCCTGGTCCACAAGGATTTATAGTTCCTGATGAACATGGAAAGTTAGTATATACTGTATAAATTTATTTATTATTCTAATTTCTGAAAAGTTATTTTCAACCTGGAAAAATATTTTTCCTTTTTTTTTTAGTCCTTTAGCTTAGCTATGTATAAAATTCTTTCTTGGTGTATATATATATTCATTTTTTATGGGTACTAACAATGAAAAATGATTATTTATTTCAGATAAGATTAAACGTAATTTAGGTAAAGTACCTTTCAAACATTTTTTGAAAACTTTGTATTTAAAGTCTGTCAGATTATTTCAGTGGGGATAAGTCCTAGCTAATACCTAACAACAACGCATTGTACATTGATGTATTTGATGAGGGTGTATTTTTTTATCATAATAAAAAAAAATATGAAAATAATGAATTTGAAAAAAAAAAGAGAGAACAATATTTCAAATATGCATATGATGAAAATTGGCATACAGTCATTTATGTATGAATTAAATTAAAAAAAATATATATCTATCTATATATATATATATATATATATATATATATATATATATATATATATATATATATATATATATATATATATATATATGTATGTATGTATGTATGTATGTATGTATGTATGTATGTATGTATATGCCTATTATAGCTAACTTCTGATAAAATCTTTGCTATTTTATGTTTTTTTTTATATTTAGTTCATTTAGTTTCATCTGCTTAGTACATCAAATGTATTATCTACTTTTCTTTAATACTATTTTTAATTTTTGTTTTATTTATTTAATGTTACCAATTTCATCATCTTTTAAAGGTTGTATAGACACAACATTGGCTTAATATCTATAGAACTACTCAGTAGTTAGTTATTGCATAAATGATATTAATGAAGTATCATATTAATTTAATTGATTGAAATTAATTTTGTCCAGAACTAATGTACTTGGAAGGTATTTTAATAAAGACTTCACGTTAACACTTCCTGAAAAGAAGAAATTGACTGATATAAAATGGTTTGCTGTTTACGATCTTTCTAGCCAGGTATGAGTTCAATTATGAGTTACTAATATAGTAGCTATCACATAAATCATACATTTGTCATGGATTTAAATAGGAATAATTTAGAACTTAGTGAAACTAAATGATTAATTAGTTCAATTACTAATTCTACAAACTAATCTTAATCATTGTTTTTTCTTATTATTGTATATACATATATGTCTAAATCTTTATTGGTATGATAATGAATTATAACTTGTATACCTATATATTTTTTTAAATAAAAATTTACGAAAATGTAATCTCTTGTTCAGAATGCTTTTGGAGACGTGTACATGGATGAAAATTTTGAACCACCCTCCACCCAAGTAATAGCAGCACTTAGTAAAAAATCACATGGAGTATCATCAGGAAACCTGCAAATTCTGGATGCTAAAACTCTCGTTATTCCAGATTTAACATACAATGGAGCAGGAAAGGGTAATTATGTTTTTCATATTTTGTAAAAATAAACATTGGTTAAGAGATTAATAAAGATAATAAAAATCTCTTAATAAAGATTTAAAATTATTAGTTCCTGAAATTATTTAAAAGTAATAAGTAATTAATTAATATAACAGAAATGTTATTATATAAAAATATATTATCTTTACAGATACATACTTTTGGGTTGGAGTAGGTCCTCAACCATCTACAAAAGGCTCAAAAGTGCCTGATGAATATGGCTAGTAAGTGCTAAATTGTATTATCATTGTAATTTAATAGAAAAAGTTGCGTGTAAATAATGATGTGGATAAAAAAAAAAAAAAAAAATTGCCCAGGGAATAATTCTTGAAACTCTGCAAGAATTTTATAATGGGACTGTTTTTGAATATTTGCAGATGATCCTCTTAAGGTCAATGAGAGACTACTAAAGTAAGTTAGTGAACCCTATTTAATACTGAATTCCATAATCAATTATCCATCAAATTCAAATCAAATCATACTCTCACTTATGTTGTTATCCTATAGGCAATCCAGATTGTATCCTTTTGCAGTGCAAAGTATCTTAAACTCAATGTTAAAATCAATGTTCAAGATATCATTCATCTCACTTCCATATATCTCTTTCTCTAATATCCTATCAGTATTTTATTGGTACATCCACAGTACAGGGCACAATATCCTACCTCTTGTAATCCAATTCAGGATTACTTTCCTGTATTGAACTGTTTGATGAGTTCCCCTGATTTGAATTTTAGGTCTTGACCTCCACTTTAACAGTTGTTAAAATTAAAATTCAATATTGAAATGGATTTATTTTAAATAAATAAGTAGTAAAATATGGCATTATGGTTAGTAGTTAATATAGTAGAAAGGGAACCAACTTAAGGAAAAATCTCGTTGGTGAAGCTCATGTTCAAACTATACAATCTATACAAACTATACAATGTATATGTCAAATATACAATCTTGAATTTTTTTGCACTTTCAATCATTTGCACTAAATTTTTATTTCAATTACAAAAGATTTCATGTGTATTAAAAGTTCTCTATTAAGTTGTTTGCCTATATTTAACTAGTTTGTTCAGTTTGATATTCTATAAACTTTATTTAAAAATCAATTCTCTAAAAAGCATTAAATTGTTTCTATTTTAGTTTAGAACCGCTGAGATTATATTCAAAGCAAACAATAAAAATTGAACTGCCTGGTGACCTCACAATATTTGACATTGACTGGTTTAGTATTTATGATGTTCAAGAAAAAAATAATTTTGGTTCAGTACTTATACCTGACAACCCAAATGTTCCTCCTTCACTAGTAAAAATAATTGTAAGTATAAGATTTGTTTATTTCTTTAGTAATTTTTCTTTGTGATTAATTAGATTTTACAACTTGTATAATTTATATGTTGTACTGATCATTATGGTAGTCTGAATTAAAAAAAAAAAATTTAAAGAGTAGCTCATAGTTTTAATTTATTTTGCTGTCATGTTTTCGTAATTCTTAATCAGAATAAAAAAATTATAACTAACAGATTGCCCTATTGGCCCACAACTTTGTCAAATTAGATTTCAAGATAGATTCTTTAACCGAACTTTCATTAATTGCTAAGAACAAACAGAAGTAGCTAAAAACAATTATTTTTTAAATACTCTAATATAAGTGTTGATGTTGAAGATTCACACTATAATCGTTAAAGTAATAAAAATTATTTCCTTCCGCAGCCTCAAAAAAGGGCTCTTCCTAATTGTATCCAGCTTCACAAAGATTTACAGGCTAGTTGGGAAATATTTGGACCTCAGATAACAATTCAACTTGCTGGTCGAGTTGGTAAGTATTAATTTTAAGTTTAATTAAAAAAATAGTTTTAATTTTGTTTCCTAGATTTGGCTAATGTTCGTTATTTGTAAGATGATTCTTAAAGTCATCTCTCTAAAAGTTTCTTATCATACTTCCTTTTATCAATAAGCTAATAAAAATTGCATTGCATATTTTTCTCTTTTTATAATATCAAGTTACAGAGAAATGTGTCATCAGATATATTGGTTATTCCTCTTTGCATAATTCAAATTATAAATTTCATAAAAACTTATGATATAAGTTGTTACTTTAATAAAATAATGACCGTGATACAGAGATCTATGATCTCTTATCATATTGTCACAGTATCTTATATGGTTTGCTTGAAGAATTCAAGATATAGTTCTTGATTCCAGAATAAAAGCATTTTCTTAAAGATTTGAGTTTTTTATATTTATATATATACAAACTTTTGGTCATAAGTGTTGAGTGCAACACATTTAGTTTGTTATGTGTGTTCACAAATACATCATGTCAGAATAAGTTTTATAAATATATATATTTATATATAACTAATTACAAACTATTGAAACAGAAATTTTATCAACAGAATCCAAATTTTATTTTAAACATTTATTAACTAAAAATAAAAACATAATTATTTATATTTGTAGAGGAAGATGAATATATTGCATTTGGTCAGAGTGGTTCCAACAGCAAGTTACAAATGCTTGGTTCAGATGTTACCATTGCATATGTTGATGGCTACAGAGGTTTTGCCGATGACTACAATATCACAGCTAATTCACCAGTAAATTTTATTTTATTTTACAATTCAAAAATACTGTAATTATTTTAAATGGTTTATGGTTTATTTAATTTATGATTTATTTGATATTACAATTTTAATGAACTGTGATTTTGAATTCACATTATGTAGTGTGTGAAAGTTCTTGGTCAGTACAAGGGTGTATGTAAGGATAGTCGAGTTGGAGGAACAGAAGATAACCAACTTCACACATCAGAAAGGCAGGATGGTATTAATACCATTACATACAGGCGGACACTTAAATCATGTGAGTTAAGGATATAAGAATGAATTTAATAGCCTTACATTAAACTAAATTCTATTTTTTATTTGCATTGTCTATTGATTATTTTGTTCTCTTCATCTGATTTTGTTACTTATGGTTTCTTAGAATAATTTACTGTTATATATCATGCCTAGTTTTTTTTTCTTTTTATTACTTTTTTTTTTAAAATTTCCAATTGGCTTGTTAACATGTAGGCATGTATCATAAAAAATATTCACATGTTTAGCACATTATGAAGTTTAAGAATTGTCTTATATAGGAGACGACTCTAATCAGACAAATTTTCAATTTTTCAAATTGAAAAATATTTGTCTAAATACAATTACTATAAATAACTAGCTGGTTACCCATTCATTGTCTAAGAATTTTATTGCTTAGCATGGTTCTTAGTTTTACCCAAGGAAACCTTCTGAAGAAACTAAGAAAACTTTTATCATATATTGCTGTCCTTTGATCTTTGATAGTTGTGCTCAATGGCACATATTTTATTTTTGAATATGTATATATATTTATTACTAAAATTAAAAATAATATTAAAAATGAAATAGAAAAAACTCATGTGTACTGTATGTAGTCTCCTGATATATGTGGTGACTAGATACATTCACAGTAATGTTCTGTTAAGGTAGAGTTAAGAATATTGTAATTATGGAACAACTAATTGAGCTTATTGATCTCATTCTCTAATAAATAAAAATAAAATAAAATTTTCTGATGTCTGTCATCTTGCCTCAAGATAACAGTTAATAGTAAAAAAAAAAAAATAATAAAAAAAAAAATAGAAGTTTTATATAAATTCGTTTATAGCCGTTCTTCTCCTAAAAGTGGACGAAACATCTAGGTTTTTATCACGTATTTGATTTTGATTTTTTAGCCTATGTAAAAACAGAAAAACTTTTATTACAATTAGTTCTGCCATGAACTCATGAAATTAAACCAAAAAGACCTAATTGGCACATAGTAATTTATATGTTTTATTTTATTTTAAAATAGCAAATAAATACATTTCAAAATTAATAGTGGATAAATCGTATTAAAAGTAATGTTTATAAGTAGCACTAAGGTAAAGCTTACTTACTGGTAAAGAATTGTGGCGAATCGTAAACAAAGCTCCGGAAAGAGTGATGTCATACTGTTCTCAGCCATCACACATGGCGTTATCGATAAGCTTAATTTTGCGACTTTGAAAATTATGAATTGACAATGATAAAAAATTCCAGTTTTCACCTAAATGTTACGTAAGCTGAATAATAAAAATGGAACAAATAAATAAAAAACATGCATACAGCCCATTCTCAAGGTGAGTAAAAACTTGTTTGTCAATGGAATTAAGAAAACTAATTTTTATAAATTCAGTAATGAATTCATTTTGATAGTAAACTTATCATCTAATAGCACCATATAATGTGGCATCTTATGATTATCAGCTTGTGATGTCATTATTGTAGGTTTCCACCAGTAGTATCTTTGGAAATAAAAATTAAAATTTATTAGCCGGCAGGCTATTAAACATCACTTAAAATATTTATTCATGAATTTATTTATTTATGAAATTATTGTACTATATTGTGGTTTTCATTCCTGTAAACATTGTGGCAATTTTAAAATATTTTAGCTTAGGTTAAAAGTTATATATAAAATTAATATCAATTACTATTCTGAATTCAGCTGATCCTGGTGATAAGGAATTTTTTGCTGATGGAGTAACACACTTAGTGTGGGCAATAGGAAAACTGGACTCAAACAAAGAACCTGCTTTTCACGATCTTTATCCAAGAGGCTCTGCCACTGTAGAGTGGGGAAAATCCATGCACAACTGTTTTTCTTTTACTACATCAAATCGTGACCTGGATAAACCTTGGGATAGAGCAAAGATCATTGATAAAGCTCTTCGGGTTTACACTGCCACCTTGGGACCTGCAGGTAGCAGAAGGGGGTACCAAGGCATCACAGGTATTATCATAAATTACAATAACCCTAGATAAACAACAATAATTTTATCGACTTACAATTTAATTGCTTAAATATAATATAATTGCTAACAACTAAATATATCTGTGTTAACTCCTGTGCGGGGAATAGAACTTATTTTGGTTAATTTTAAATAAAGGACTACAATCAAGTGAATAGTTGTTCTGTTTACCACGTTATAAATTTTTAGATAATGTAAACATAAATAATAAAACATTAGTTGCTTTAATTTTGTCTTATGAGAACATTGCAAGAAAAATGATAAGAAATATTAATGTTTTATGAGAGAATTCTAAAGGATTAAAAATTTTTATTTATTTTTCATAAACTGGTAAAAATATTTAATTTATTTATTGTTTATGTTTTGTAAGAAATTCTTTTGTTTTAAAAATATTTACTATTAGTTAAAAAGTTACAAAAAATATACAATATTAAAGTTTTACCGGCTAGTAAATATTTATTTACTTCTTACGAGCTGTCTGATATATTTTCATAAATGAACTGTTCTATTTGTTGTTATAGAGACTAGATTATTTATTCAGACTAAAATTTATATTCATGAAACAGAAAATTATTCCTTTTTTTTAATCATTTTAAATGATCAATGATGTATATTTTTATTTAAGGTAAAATTTTAGTTCTACAGCTTCTTAGAATTCTCAATATAATTTATAAGTGATACCTATCATTTGTAATAATAAAAATTTACAAACCTTATTTATTCTTGTTAGTTACAAAGCTAGTAAATTTAAGAAATTATATTCTCACAAACAGGCATGCCTTCTGGAGGACTAGCTTGGTATATCAATGGTCTTCTTATCCCAGAAATTTGGATGAAGCGGGGAACAACATATGCAATTAGAGTATTTGGAGGAAACAACCCCCATAGTGCAGAGCTTTATAACCCTTTTATTATTACTGATGAACCTCATGGTGGACTCGAGAGGAGGTCAGAAGAAGTTCATAGGCACATTAGAGCTCTTGCTGGTGTTCAGTACACACTGAGAGGGCAATCTAGGCCAACAACAGGTATGAAAGTCAATGAATAATTTGAACTCACTTTATTTAATTAATTAAGTATATTGGTAGTATAATAATTCTTCTTTTATTATTGAAGTAGTCAGGCCAAAAGCCCCCTTCAATCCACTATTATGGCGATCTTCACACTGTGGTCAGAATAGGTTGGTAATTTCTGTAGAATAAGCCTCTTGTAAACCAGAAATGACCAGGAGAAAATTACATGAAAAACAAAAGTACTCTTAAATATTTATCAAGAGCCTAATGTTGCCCAAGATTACAGTTTTTTACAATTAGACGGACTTGAAGCATTATATTTACTCCTGTTTGAGACACTTTTATCTTTGTAGAAGCTGAGTGTGCCTGACAGAAATTTCATTTTTCTTATACTCCTTTTTCGATTTTTACAATTAGACGGACTTGAGGCATTATATTCACTGTTGTTTGAGACACTTAAATCTTTTTAGAGGCTGATAGTGCTCGATTACTGTTTCATTTTTTCTTATGCCCGTTTTAGATTTTTTTTGTAATTAGACAGATGTGAGCCTTGAGATGAGTAGGAAAAAAAAAAAATCACACACACAGTGTCTCAAACAGCAGTAAATATAATGCCTCAAGTCCGTCTAATTGTAAAAAAATGAAATTTCTTTTGGGCACACTCAGCCTCTACAAAGACTAAAGTGTCTCTAACAGCAGTAAATATAATGCTTCAAGTCTGTCTAATTGCAGGGAAACAACAGAACATAAGAAAAAACGAAATTACTGTTGAGTAAACTCAGCCTCTATAGAGATTAATGTGTCTCAAACAGTAGTAAATATAATGCCTCAAGTCCTTCTAATTGCAGAAAATAAAAAGGGAATATAAGAAATGAAAATGAAATTTCTATCGGACACACTCAGCCTCTATAAAGATTCAAGTGTCTATATACTCTATAAAGTCCGTCTAATTGCAGGAAATAAAAGGGAACATAAGAAAAAATTAAATTTTTGTTGGGCACGCTCAACCTCTATAGAAACTAAAGTGTCTCAATCAGCAGTAAATATAATGCCTCAAGTCTGTTTAATTGCAGGCAATAAAAAGGGAACATAAGAAAAAATGAAACTTCTGTTGGGCACACTCAGGCTCTATAGACACTGAAGTGTCTCATATAGGAGTAATATATAATGCCTCAAGCCCTAATTGCAGAAAACAAAAAGGGAATATAAGAAAAAATGAAATTTCTATCGGTCACACTCAGCCTCTATAAAGACTAAAGTGTCTATATACTCTATAAAGTCCGTCTAATTGCAGGAAATAAAAGGAAACATAAGAAAAAATTCAATTTTTGTTGGGCACGCTCAACCTCTATAGAGACTAAAGTGTCTCAAACAGCAGTAAATATAATGCCTCAAGTCTGTTTAATTGCAGGCAATAAAAAGGGAGCATAAGAAAAAATGAAACTTCTGTCGGGCTCACTCAGGCTCTATAGACACTGAAGTGTCTCATATAGGAGTAATATATAATGCCTCAAGCCCTAATTGCAGAAAACAAAAAGGGAATATAAGAAAAAATGAAATTTCTATCGGTCACACTCAGCCTCTATAAAGACTAAAGTGTCTATATACCCTATAAAGTCCGTCTAATTGCAGGAAATAAAAGGAAACATATGAAAAAATTCAATTTTTGTTGGGCACGCTCAACCTCTATAGAGACTAAAGTGTCTCAAACAGCAGTAAATATAATGCCTCAAGTCTGTTTAATTGCAGGCAATAAAAAGGGAGCATAAGAAAAAATGAAACTTCTGTCGGGCTCACTCAGGCTCTATAGACACTGAAGTGTCTCATATAGGAGTAATATATAATGCCTCAAGTCCTAATTGCAGAAAACGAAATAAGGGCATAAACAAAAACTAAATTTAGAGTGAACAATAGGATTTTTATTATGGTTATTTCATTCCTTCATGCATCTATCAGAATGATTATTTCAGAACATTATTTCTGAAATAATCATTTCAGAAATATTTATTTATTTATTTGATGTTTTGTTGCCTCTACCCTGTCGTGTCATTGGCAACGCCTTTAAATTACACTCTGTTGTAGAGTTTTATCTCTTTTTAAAAACCTTAAAGTTTTTTTGACTGCACTTTCATTGTCTTGTAGATTTTGTTTTAGACTCTGTGCCATGTCTAACTTGTTCCTTGTAGATTCCAATGAAGGGCAGTCTTAAATAATGTGCTTTACTGTCCTTTGGACATTGCAGCTCTCCCAGATCGGAGGATCAAGTCCTCTTAGTAGGTGGGAGTGCGAGAATTCACAATGTCCAATTCGTAACCTGCAGAGGGCTGTCTCCTCTTTTCGAGATGATCGGTGAGAGGTTTCCCATTTTAGACATTGGGGTTTAATTTCTTTTAATTTGGATTCTTTTTGTTCCCGCTTGTTTTGCCACATGTTCCACACATTTTCCTTAATTTTTTTAACGTAATCCTCTAGAGGGATTTCATTAATTGATTTTACGGATATTGCATCTGGCTTTCTTGCCATGTTGGCTGCTTGATTGGCTTGTTCATTACCGATGATCCCGCAATGCGAAGGGACCCCCAAATGAACACTACTTCTTTGCCCTTCTCCCTTAGTAGCCCCCAAACGTTTCTTACATCTTTTGCGAGAGTGGTTTAGGGCCTGGTATGTTCAATGACTAGTAATGAACTCATAGAGTCTGTCACCACTGCCCAATTGGTAGTTTCACTTGTCTCTATGTGTTTAAGAGCTTCTCTAATTGCTATCATTTCACCAGTAAATACTGAACAAGCCTCTGGAATTTTGAATAGTTTTTGAGTTCTTACAAGTAGTGGTAAGAAATAATTATGACATTAATCCTGAAATTAAAATATCCCTCTTGGTAAAAAATACTCTATGATATATTTTTTTCATTTCCAATCAATCAAATCAAACCTGTTTGATAAACAAATTAATTATTCATGTGGGATCTACAAATTATCATTTTGGATGAAATATACTCTCATATGTCCAACTTTCTAATTCTAATTTTATCAGAAATCTAATTAGTACTGTAAACCACTTATTACTATGTGTGGTAAATATGTATGATAATTGTTAATGTTATCTATGATTAATGGTTATATTTTAGAAACCCATTCATCATATGTTTAATGCTTAAAAAAAAAAAAGAAAAAGAAAATAAATAACCTGCACAATAAACATATAATTCATGAAGAAATTTTTAAATATTTAGTTTGGCAAATGTTGATTATATCATAGGAAAATTTATTATTTGTTTAAATGTTTAATGCAAGTCTATTGGTGGATCTTACTTGGATTTTTAATTGCCCTTATGATATTGGTAGTACTGTATATAATAATGATAATACAGTTCACAGAATCAATATTTTAGGTTAATCATTTTTCTTTAAAAAGGTAAGTATAATTTACTGGACCATTTGTATTAATTTCCTGTATCGTTATTCTCATAATATGAACTATATCTATAAAATATTCTTTGAAATTTCTCTATGTCACATGGATAGATAAAGTAATATCTCTGAAACTGAAACTATTTTTCAGTCGGACCACTTTGCTTGGCTCGCCACAATGGGGTTGACAGAAGACTGGATGATGATTATCCTACTTTTAGAGATTTCAATAAGACATTGGTTGTGACTTGTGAACCAGGTGTGTTTTAAATTTATTTAAATTTTATTTTGCAATTTTTTTGTATCATGGTGACAATGTTCTTATATTTTTTAATTAATTGTCTATTAAAGGTGAACCAGCAATATTGGAAGTGACTCCTAATTCAACATGGCCTGATATTGTGTATTATAACAGCTATACCCACATGAACACTGGATGGAAAATACACATTGTTGATACTTTTAATGCCCAATATGGCTGTGCCTGCCACCTTAAATATTTTCCTATGATTATCATCTCGTCATTACTTTTACATTTGCTTATTAATTGTTAATTTATTTATTTGTTAAAATTGTTAAGATTTATTTATATTTTGACTTTTTTTTTTTGTTCCTTTAACACCCTTTCTTATAAATTGAACGTTTTGTTTTATAATAGTCACATATCTTTCTCTATTATCTGGAAGCACCATATAAAATGTCATTCTTCAAGCCATAACATGATTGTGTCCAATTTATTATGTGATAAGATATGCTCTTTGATTCATTAATTAAGGAAAATTAATTCAAGATAAGCATTTTTTTATTGCTTCACCATTGTTAAATCTGGTCTTTCAGAAAATTGTGAAGACTTGAAAAGAGGTTGTTAGTAACCAATTGATCAGTTCAATTAAAGTGGACAACTATTTCTTGAAAGTAAAATTTGTAAGAATTATTGAGAAACTTGAGTTTTGGTGAATTAATAATTTATTGATTAATAAATTATTATTTTATTCAGTCATATTATTATTGTCACCCACAAAGCTGACATTACATATGATCCGACCAGATAACATTGGACACACAAAACAACCTATTTATAATATTTATGTAAGCTTTTCTTTGATGGATTATGGTTTGATATAAAAGTAATTATGAATTTTCAGTGACGACATATTATGTACTAATTAAGACATACAAAAAGATAGAATGTCTTAAAGTTAGAGTTATAAAATATAATAAAATTATCATTAACATTATATTAAATCTAAAAATTAACATTAGATCAATGGCACATCCTATTTGAAATAGTCTGGTAAAGAAATGAGCAATTTCTAGTCCTTGTAACCTTCACATTTTCCTCTGATTTAATTGTTTCATTAACTGAAAAATCTTACTTTATATGGCTAATTTTAATTTACATATAATTCAGGTATTACTTATTCATAATAACAGTAATTATTATATTCACTTTTTTAATTTTGATTTTTAAAAAATTCCATTTTGAGGTAGGTGCATATATTAGTTTAATTGATATTCAGTTTTGGTTTTAAAAATGTTTATAAAGTGTATTTATAACATAATGATCTATTTCTTAATATAACCATTAAAACTATTTTTATTAAATTACTTCTAAAACATCTATTTCTATTCTAAATCGAAGCTTATTTTTATTTCAAATCAGGCCGTTGAGGCCTTGGGAATTCGGTGTATAATTTCATCATGTCAGTAACAACACAGATTCAAATTAGGTCTGGAAGAGTTGGCTTTAATTTTGGTTAAAAAAAAAATTCCAGGCCATAAAGGGCAATGAGGCCCATAAAATAAATACTAACCTTCTGATTCTCAAAAATTTGTATTTAAAATATTTTTGGACTTAAGTGACTCTGAAACTAATTAGTCTGTTGAATATAATTTATATAGATCTCCAGTAACCCCAGAATCCTTTTCTAAAGTATTTTTCTAGCAGAAAAAATTAGATTAAGCAACCCAACGATTTGGGTTGCTATGCCTTACTTTATATATATATATATATATATATATATATATATATATGGGCTGGGGTAACCGTGCGGGCTAAGCACTTGCAATAGGTGATCAAGTTAAGCAACGCTTAGCGTGGTTAGCACTAGATTTGGATGACCGTCCACCAGAGAAAGACATGCTGCACAAGATTCCTCCTCCCCGGGTATGTGAGGCCCGTCAGACTACTGAAGGCAAATCACACTGACCAGACGTAGAATTGATGACCCTACCCCCGTGTACTTAAATGAGGGATCTCTCAGTTAAAGATCTTCATGGTCTGTAGCGCTATTGAAAAAAACAAAATATATCTATATATATATATATATATATATTTTTTTTTTTTTTTTTGTATAGTGTATAGATTAATTTTCTGCACTAAGATAAATAAACCACAATATTTAGTATTACCTATCTTAGCGTAGAAAATTAATCTGTTGGCTGCATTGACATCACCCAATTCAAGCATCTTTTGGTACTAAGGTCTAGTCCATTGGGACTCTTTCAGTTCCAAGTAGTTATAAATAGAATAGAATAATTATAAATTACCTATTCTCCTATTGGCTTGAACTTATTCAGATATTTAAATCGCCGACTAGTACCCTATTCCAAGCTGTTAGACCTCCAACCACAATTTATTAATCAGATTAATTTGACTCATAGGTGAACTCTGCACAATGAAAATAAAAACAGCAGAACATGTTTATTAACATTATTTTGCATAAAAACAATTGTACTAAGGTACAATATTATTAAGGTCTAGTCCATTGGGACTCTTTCAGTTCCAAGTAGTTATAAATAGAATAGAATAATTATAAATTACCTATTCTCCTATTGGCTTGAACTTATTCAGATATTTAAATCGCCGACTAGTTCCCTATTCCAAGCTGTTAGACCTCCAACCACAATTTATTAATCAGATTAATTTGACTCATAGGTGAACTCTGCACAATGGAAATAAAAACAGCAGAACATGTTTATTAACATTATTTTGCATAAAAACAATTGTACTAAGGTACAATATTATTAAGGTCTAGTCCATTGGGACTCTTTCAGTTCCAAGTAGTTATAAATAGAATAGAATAATTATAAATTACCTATTCTCCTATTGGCTTGAACTTATTCAGATATTTAAATCGCCGACTAGTACCCTATTCCAAGCTGTTAGACCTCCAACCACAATTTATTAATCAGATTAATTTGACTCATAGGTGAACTCTGCACAATGGAAATAAAAACAGCAGAACATGTTTATTAACATTATTTTGCATAAAAACAATTGCCTTGGACCTTGCTAGAGGGGAAGCATTGGCTTTGCAGTAACATCCAAACCAGGAGTACCCATTCCCAGGTTGATGGTGCATAACCCCTTCTCCCTCCTAAGAAATTTTATTGTTCTTCTCATCATAAAAACCTTGCAAGTGAAAGTAGAATTATTAAAACTGTATTTCATTCAAAATTACTCACTGTGGCCGATTCCATGATTATCTCCTCTGGCTATTATCTTTTATAGCATTAGAAATCAAGAGAAAAGTGGAGATATAATAATTACGTCCCTGGAGATATAATAATTACTTCCTAGTGCCTCAAAATCCTTTTCACAAAAGTTAAAAATATAACTCAACTATATAAAACTTGAGGAAAAATAATAAATTTGTTGAGAAAGCAGGAAAAAAGACTGTCAAAGATACACAACATTTAAAGATTTGTTTTTTCTAAAAAAAATTGTGAAGTTTCTATTTTTTTTTTAAATTTATTGCCCACTTTACTATTTAAAAAAAATATAGTTGAAGATCTTTTATAAAAATATAAAACACTCCTCAACATAATCTCTTAACAGTAATCGATTCTCAAGATCCTCCTTTCCAATTCCTTGTACAAAGTTCTCAATAAAAACAGTTAAGGATAAAGCAAAATTCCTGCAAAACAGGAATTGCTGTCAAGATATTTTTACTGTGTTAGTCGACGGGCCGTTCTTGTCTCGACTTCCTAATGATAGCCCTGAGGATGACCCACATGTTTGGGTCGAAACGTCGGCTAGTCCAATAAAAATAACGACTGAAATTCCTGACAATTTGGTTTCATTGTTATAATTGATCAGTCGACTAATTGCCCATCTCTAAAAACAGTTATGGCGTTAGATAATTTTATTTATGATAATTTTCACGTTTTTATGTTTTTCATAACAGAAGAACGCCTTTCATACCCAAATAAACTCTTCTTTAGTTCAAACCATATAACATAGAAGAAAGCACATTCTATTCATTTCTAATTTAAGTTTAATAATAATCAAGCCAGAGGAGAGAGAGGACAGCAGAGACTGGAGATAAGGGTTCTAGGGCTTCAAAGGCATCCAGAACTGGCCACAAGGTATTAAGGCATTATATAGAAGTTATAGTATTATTATTATAACTTCACATTCAAATAAACTATTGATAACAGAACGTATATTATATAATAGTTATAAATAGAAAAATATTTCTTTTCAATTAACATGATTTTTTAATTTTTTCTACTTTATTTAAAACTGGATTTAAAGTGTGTATAGTATACACATATTATTAGACAAACGAAAAAAAGTTATACCATCAACGTTATTATAGCCTTATAACTATGCCATAGGGTATTGAGGAAGAAGACAGTAGGCGCTTACAGAAGAACCGCTTTTTCGCAGATTATGTGGATTCTTTAAGGAACTGATTTAAATATTTTAAAAACTAATCACTGATTTAGAAAGATAAATGTATTGTCCAGATGTTTTATTTCAATGTATTTTTTGTTACTGTGGCCGTTTATTTATAAACAACACTTGATTTTCAATATTAGTATGAACGAATTGAATAAATTGACTGTACCAGCGCTTTTCTATAATATATAGCGCAAAAACAACTCTAACAATTTTGATAAAACTTTCCTATAATTTCCTAACTAATTTGAATCTACCTTGTACAAATTTATCCCATTTTACAGAAACATAATAGTTTCCGGTGACTTTAATGCCAATGTCCTTTCCAATTCCCAGGACAAACACTACCTGGAAAACCTTTTCTACTCCCTTAACCTCTTTATAGTACCATTTGCTCATAATCATCACACTTGCTGGTCTGATACATGGCTAGACCTGTTTATCATCGATTCTGCGCAGAACCTTTTGTCTTCGTCCCAATTACCTGTTCCTTTCCTCTGTTCTCATGACCTCATCCAACTATCATACAATATCCAGACCCTAGCGATCCTTCCTAAAACAATAACCTTCCGTGATATAAATTTCCTTACTCGTGAAAGCACCCGGCCCGATATTAAAACCTTGGATTGGAATGATGTTTACACCAGCTCCTCAATTGATACCATGATAGATATCCTGACTTCTGATCTCCTCCATATCATCAATACTCATTCCCCTTTTAAAACCTCTACATTCCGCCGCCAACCTGCTCCTTGGATGCGTAAAAAAATTCGAAATATGCAAAAGAGACGTGAAGCAGCCCATAGGCGTTTTAGAAGAACCAGGCTTGCAGATGGCTATGAAGCGTTCACGGTACTCCGTAAGTCGATGCAAACAACGATCAGGCAAGCAAAACCAATTACTTTCATGAAGCCTTCTCCTCTGCTCCCGATTCTAAATCCAAATGGCATTTACTTCAAAAGCTGTCTCTTTGCAGATCATCTTCCTCCTTAGTCGTCCCAGTCTCTCCTGATGCTTTAAATTCTTACTTTTTATCCTCCTTTTCTAGTAACATTTCTCCCGCCTCTTCCCATATTTCTATGTCATCTGCATTCAATAGTGACAATTTTTATTTTTCCTACCTCACTCCTACGTACCTTATTTCCTCCATGATGAAATCCCAATCCTGCTCTATAGGAATTGACGGAATACCCGTCAAACTGTTAAAATTATGCCTCCCTGAAATCCTTCCAGTTCTTCTACTCATTTATAACTTTTCCTTTCAAACTTCTGATTTTCCTACTCTTGGAAGAAAGCCTTAGCCCGTCCTATTAACAAAATCCCTAACACCACCTCTCCTAAAGGCTATCGTCCAATTTCCATCCTCTCTAATATGTCAAAACCCCTCGAAGTAATAGTCCAATCCCAAATTTCCAATTTCCTCGAAGAGTTCGAACTTCTAGATCCTGACCCAATCCCGGGTTTCTCCACTCAATCCGCTTTAGTCAAAATCACAAATGACATACATACTGCAATTGACGAAAGGAAACTATTAGAGCAGTATTAGTACTCTTAGACTTCTCCAAAGCATTCGGTTCCTTAGATCATTCTATCCTCTTCGCTAAATTAAAATCTCTATCCTTCTCCAATAGTTCTTTCCTATGGTTCCAATCCTTCCTTTCTGACAGGACTCAAGCTGTTAGTATAACAAATCAACCCTTATCTTCCTTCCTCACTCTATCTCGTAGAGTAGCCCAGGGTTCAAGCATTTCTCCTCTCCTTTTTAATTCATACATTAATGACCTTCCTAATTCAATCCACTATTGCTCATACCATCTATATGCTGATGACTACCAAATCTATCTATCCTTTCCGCCTACTGAGCTATTAGAAGTGTTTACTCATATTCAGAGAGACCTAGATAGGAT